TGCTGAAGAAGACCATGTCCCTCTGGCCTTCAAGATGGCTTTACCCAAACAAGTGACTGAATTCTGAGCATGAGCAGAGCAACTAATTTCTCTCCTATAGTGGCACAACTTCCCTTCGAAATCCTCTGTAACCCTCTAGCGCTCAGTGCCTCTGGCTGGTAGGTGGCTTCCATTTCATTGCCTGGTCCACAGAGCAGCTGTCACAGCTTAGAGATGGCAGAGCTGCCATCCTGCTCTGCTCCTCTCCAAGCAGGAGGAGCCATGGCACTGACCACTCATCTCTTGGGTGGCAGTGATGGGCGCTGGTCGCATCCTGACCTGTAATACTTGGGGTCTCTGCTCCTGGCAGCTTAGGTGTCTGAGCTCATGGGCCACAGGAGACCTGGCTGAGTCGCTGGGTGTCCCTTTCCTTCAGAGCCTTGTCCATCCTCTGAGGTGGATGACTTACCTCCTCCTTCTCACTGACCTTAAAAAGAAGATGGAGCACTCCAGCCTCCAGCTATAAACTTCTTATCTCTTTCCTGTTGACAGCAAAGCCTTCATTTCAGTCCCTGAGGGCAGGATTTTGGGCTCAGTTTTGAAGCCCACAGAGGGGTGTGTGAATTCAGTTATGGGCTTCTCTCGTGCGAGTGCTGCTCTTGTATTATGCCCTTTCTCTTTGGCCTGGCCGAAGCACTGAAGTCGCCTGTTTTGTCATCACCGTGTTATACAGATGGTAACGATGGATCTAACCTGATTCAAATGTCCAAGAACGGCCTCTCAGTGTCAATGGCTTCCTTGTTCTCAGGTAGTACCCCGCAGTGCTCCCCTGCGGCGCGCGTGTGTGTGTGCAAGCTCTGTGTGTGTGTGTGCATGTGCACACTTCTCAGAAATCTGCCCAATTTGGGAACTGTGAACTGTATCATCCAGGCATCAGCAAGAAAAGCTGTGGCAGGATGATACGGCAGGGTGGAGAATTGAGGAAGCAGAGGGGCTTTGTCATGGGCTCCATCCCTTAGGGCCATGTGTATTTTGTATTTTGCCATGCGGTATTTTGGATAGACCAAACGTGCCTGCTGTGGTGAAGACCTGTCTGCCTGGGGTAGGTCTCGGCAGGGCGATGGCGCAGCTTTGTGGCTCTGTAGCTGCTGAAGGCTGAGCCCAAGCTGGATGAGAGCAGAGTCCTCCACAGTGTGGGACCAGGGCTCCAACCCAGGCGCCTTGGGGAGTGTTATCCCCCTTAACGTGGCAGAGCTGATCTGAACCACGGCCAACCCTTCCCATCCTGCTCAGACTTGACTTGGAGAAGAATCCTTCCAAAAAGCAGTCCTGGAGGAAAAATTTGTGAGAGCAGACAGGGCACAGGCAGTTTGTTTTTTTTACCCTGGAGGCCCTGGGCACCAGGATTACAAGCAGCCAGGTCTTGCTTTGTGTTTTTATTGTTTACAGTGCTACCAGATTATCCTCCTGGTCTGTTGGCCGCAATTAAATAACCTTCATGTGCTCCCTGTTTGCTTTAGCAGGTGAACAGCCTGTGTGGGCTGCTGCTGATCTCCTGTCAGGCATTCAGCACCAGCACCTTGCTCCTGCCAGAGCTGCTGGTGCTCAAAGCTTCCCCATCAGCTCATCAGTTTAATCCAGGGGGACTCTTCCTGGCCTGAAGCTCCCATTTGGGAGCTGGGGTGACCTCCTTGGGTTTGCGGGCTGTTCATGAGCCTCCTGGGGACTATCCCAGCTGGTGAAAGCATTGACAGCAGTGATGTTTTGGACAGCTACCTGGAGGCTTTTGGGGAGTGTCTGCAGTTACGTTGGGGAGGGAGCAGTGGCAGTGTCCCAGTGTTAGTCCTAGGGTCAGACTGGGCTCCCTCTGCCATCCCTGAGATGATGCCAATGCCTGAGTGTGCCAGCTCCCCGTGTCTCCCTGTGACGCTTGGCCCACACTGCTGCGTGTGCCCCGCTCTTTGCTCATGTTCATTGTAGTCTAGGGCCATGCGGCGCCTTCTTGCGCAAAGCTGAAGGCACCAGAGCATGGCAGATATGGCTGGCTGGTGCCCTATGTGGTTGGGAGGCTATGTTTGCCTGAATTCCCTGTTTTCTGCAGCTAGAAGTCTGTTTGTATGATGGAGATGTGTGGATTCCGTAGCATTAGGATGCTTTCCCGTGCCTGTTTCTAGCAATGGATGTCAAACAAAGAGGGTCAAGCATCCACGCTGAACCCCACCAGCGTGAGTCTGTAAATGTATGAGCAGCACTGGGACTTGGTCCACTTGCTGGTAGCCACGCTGTTCCTAGAGAGAGCCTGGCTCTCTCCACTCAGCTGGACTGCTGTTCCCTGGGCCTCAGCATGCATTTGGTACCTGGCCAGGGTTAGATGGGCTCTGTGTGGGTGCACGTCACTGATCTGCTCGGAGTGGAGGAGCAGGGACCTTGAGCTGTGTCTCCCACAGTCAGGCACTGGGCCACTGGCTCACGGGAGCTGCAAGCCTGTGTTTGGAGGTGATGTGGTTGCTGCAGACCCTTATCTGGGAGTGAAGCAGGGTTTCTGCCTGCCTAGTCCTGCTCGAAAAGTCTCCTGTCCCAGCCGTTGAGATGAATTCCCTCTCAGGGTTTAGCCTGCTGGAGTGAAAGCAAGATGAGTGATGAAGGTAGCACCAGCTACTGCCTGGTACCCAAGGCTCGCACCGAGGAGGGATACAGGGCAGCCCAGGGCTGTTCGGGAGTTGATGGAGGGGTGGAGGGGGCAGGACCCCGGTGTCCTGCACCTTATCTTGGATCCCTCCCTCCTCAGGAGATGGGTGTGTGGCCTCTGCAGAGGGCTGGCCTCCTGGCTGCTGGGCTGCTCTCTGCATGGATGCTGCCGTGTCTTTGGGCTATATTATCTTACAGGTTGTGGTCAAGTGGATAGAAGGACACTGCATCCCATTGCTAATCCCTTACAGCATCGTACTGTGTGTAGAGCTACTAAACCTTCTTGCTAACCTTGCTGTCCTGCCCTCCTGTGTGCATATTCTTTCAGGTCATGTCATTGCTAGGACTTGGTGTGTGACCTGTACCAGCAGCCCCCTGTCTCCCTCAGACCTCACTGTTTTCACAGCATCCCACCACGTTCCCTTGTAGCTCCGACAGGCGACAGATTAGACTGTGCCTCTCCTTGCTGCTCAGTGCCACTGGTAGAAGTCGATGCTGTAGTTCACATGTTTTTGAACAGCTTTATGAGTTTTGCAATGAAGCTTTGGTTTGAAGTGAGTGCATCCCCCTGCCCTGCCCCATCTGCTCCACCTTGTCTGTTTGTCATTCAGATGCTGACATCAAGAGGAACCCAGACTGCAGCAGGAAGTCCTTCCTCTCCTCAGAGTCCATGTACGTCTTCAACTCGTGGCACGACATCTTGGTACCAAGTTCCCCTTCCTGCCCAACTCTTCTCTTCCACATGCATCTGCTGCTGTTTTGCACTGAAGCAGACATCCCTCCCTCCTTCCTTCCCTCCCTCCCTCCATAGCTTTACTTAGCAATGGGGCGCTGGGTCCTAGTCTTAAATTTGGGAAGAAGCACCTAGAGGGATCAGGATATTCACATGTGCTGCCACCTCCTCTCCAACCCTTGCTGCTGTGCTGTGGCCCAGAGGTGGCACCGCTGGGACAGGCGATGCTCACAAACTGTGCAGTGCAACAGCACTTAAATGTGAGGTGCTTGGTCCTTTCTGGGTACTGGTGGAGAGGTGGGAGCTATAGGGAGGTAAATCACCTGTTGTAAGCACAGCTGCTGTGTTGGTGCTCTGAAAACAAAATCCCTTTGGGATGCAGAGACTGCTGTGCGTGTTGTGTGAGGTGAAAACTGTGTCCCTGCTTGGCGGCTTCTCGGGTAGGTCCATACCAGGACAGCGGTTACTTCTGGCTCTCACTTTGCAGCTTCCCCTGCAAACAGGCACAGGTTTTTTTAGGAAAGAGATTTTTTTGGTGGCCTTTCCAGACTCTTGTTGTTGTGCCGTTACCCAGCTGCAAAGACAGGAGTCAGTCACATATATCAATTTTAAGCCTGCACAGCAGTGCAGAAATGAGATGCCTGAGTTGGAGGGAGCATCTTTGGCTTGAGCTGGGACTGGCATCAGGGGTTGTGAAGAGGACAGAGCTGTGACACCCGGTACTAACCCCTTCCTTCACTGTCTAGATCACACTCCTTCCTCAATTCCAACTCAGCGGAGGCCGTGGCCATGGGCTTGCTGAAGCAGTTTGAGGGCATGCAGCTCCCGGCTGCCTCTGAATTGGAGTGGCTGGTCCCTGAGCACGATGCACCACAGAAGGTAGGGGTGTGAGTGTGCGGTCACCGTTTGCATTTGGTTGCTCTTCCCCAAACCCATGGCTCCAGCCGCTGCCCAGGGGCTTTGCTGGTCCTGCTGATCCCTTTGTGGAGCTGGAAGAGGGGTTTTGTCTGGACTCCAGAGATGGGCAGCCAAGCAGGGCTCTGCCACTGGAGCCTCCTGCAGCAGAGTGCCCATGTCCCTGGGGACATCCCTTTTCCAGCTCTCATCAGCTGGAGCAGCAGCTCAGTGCCAGGCAGTTTTTCAGAGGGCTGTGGTTGCAGGTTTTTGGCTAGCCAGCCAGATGATGGCCTCTGTGGTACCAGGCAGGGATCTGACCCTCTCGCCTGCCTTTCTCAGCTCCTGCCCATCCCTGACTCTCTCCCCATCTCTCCCGACGATGGAGAACATGCCGACATTTACAAGCTGAGGATTCGAGTGCGCGGAAACCTGGAGTGGGCCCCACCGCGACCACAGATCATCTTCAACGTTCACCCAGCCCCAACGTAAGGACCCGCTTATGCAGCCGAGGGCTCTCTGGGGACTTGCCCTTTCCAACCCTTTTCCATCAGCACCAAGATTGAGAATCCTCCTCTTCCCACTTGGCTCCCAGGGCTTCCCTGTTCTGAGCCTGGTAAATCCACGGTGGTCACCACTGGTGGCTGGTGCTGTGCGATGGAGCCAGTGCCTGCTTTGGTGTGCACCAGGGCACAACAGGGCTTTTCCCCTTGGTTTTGTTGTCCACAATGAAGTGGCCAAGCATGTGGCATCTCTGCCATCCAGCCCTGTGCCAGTGCCCGTCCTCTGGTGCCAGATGCCATCAGGGCTGGACTCATGCATGTCCTCTTCTGTCTCTGGGCAGGAGGAAGGTGGCTGTGGCCAAGCAGAATTACCGGTGTGCAGGCTGTGGCATCCGGACTGATCCTGGTGAGTGCTGGGACCTGTAGCTGTGTGGGGATGTATTGGTGAGCAACTGGGAGGATGCAGAGTGGGTTGGTGGTGGCAGAGCAGAGCTCTTTGTCCAGCTGTCTCCCGAGTGCATAGGTAGATGATAGGTGGATACTGGTAAGGCAGAATTCCTTGCTTTTTGGGAATACTGAGTGGTGCTGGGAGTCTGATATGTGTTTAAGCAGAGCCCATGCCTTGGTTGACCTCTCTGCCTTGCTTGTGCTTGACCAGATTACATCAAGCGGCTGCGGTACTGCGAGTACCTGGGGAAGTATTTCTGCCAGTGCTGCCACGAGAACGCCCAGGTGGTCATCCCCAGCCGCATCCTGCGCAAGTGGGACTTCAGCAAGTACTACGTGAGCAACTTCTCCAAAGACCTGCTGAGCAAGATCTGGAGTGACCCCCTCTTCAACGTGCAGGATGTCAATCCTGCCCTGTACCGGAAAGTGAAGTCTCTCAACCAAGTATGGGTAAGACCCTTTGGGTGAGGTGGGTGGCTGCCAATTGTAAACCATATTTCATATTCTAGGGAAGCTGGGAAGAAGCAAATATTTCTGGTTTTGAGGCTTAAAACCCCAGCACCAAGGGTTTTCGTTCACATCTTGTTCTTTGCCCAGCAACGTAGGAATTTCAGAAGGAATTTCTGCCTGGCGTCCAGCTGGGCTCTGGTTTATCTCTTGGAGCATGTGACGATGGCTGTGCTCGCTTTGCCCTGCGTGGTGTAAACACTTGGGTAGCAGGGGAGCAGCAGCTGAGGAGCAGCAGTGGTTTCACCAGTGCAGGAAATGGGGCAGACCCGCTTGTGCTCTGTTTGCTGATTCTCGTGTCTCCCCTTCCTCTCCAGCTGCTGCGAATCCAGCTTTTCCACATGAAGAACATGTTCAAGACGTGCCGACTAGCTAAAGAGTGAGTCCCGGGCTAGGATGAAGCTGTTTTGCTGTCCTGGATCTGTCCCGTGTCCCCAGTTTGCACTGGGGATCTGTGCAGACTCTGCAATGAGCAATGGGCGGAGAGGGGAGTGGAAGAGAAAGTAGCAGCAGTGGAGAGAGGGCGCTTGGTGGAGTCTCTTTGCTCTGAGCTCTGGTTTCTCTGTCCTGCAGCCTCCTGGACTCCTTTGATGCGGTGCCTGGCCACTTGACAGAGGATTTGCACCTCTACTCGCTGAGCGACCTCAGTGCCATAAAAAAAGGGGACCTGGTGCCTCGCCTGACAGAGCTCCTGAAGGCCGGCAGCCTGCACGTTGGGAAGTGCATGGTGAGTGTCCTCGCCTCCCTCCCGCACAGCTCTGCACCCTCAGGAGCACCCTTTGGGGCAGTCTTTGCTGTGTAGACAACTGGTATGAAGGCATGTGATGTGCAGGGCAGCCATCAAATTGATTCAGTGCCAACTGCTCCTGTCTGCTCCACAGAGCTGCTACCCAGCACATGTGGGGTCTTTCTTTTACACTATTTCAGCTCTTGCTGGCCCCTGACACATGGTTCTGCCTCACTGTGCTTTGTGCTGGGGAAAGGCTGTCTCATGGAGTTAGAGCAGAGCACTGTGTCCTGCTGTCCTGCTCTGCTCTCTGCTAAATGATGAGGATCATTAAGCTGCTTTTTCCTCTTTTTCTCCTTCCAGCTGTGCCAAGCCAAAGGCTTCATCTGCGAGTTCTGCCAGAATGAGGGTGACATCATTTTCCCCTTTGAGCTCAACAAATGCAAGATGTGCGAAGGTGAGATGCTGGGGAGAAACAGAGGGGACAGACCCTGGACCCAGCGAGGTCTGCCTTTGCAGTGTGAGTGGCAGCGTTATAATAGTACTTGGCCAGAGCTCCTGGCATGGTGGAGTACGTACATCCTTTCCTGACCATGCTGTGTGCTATGAGCCCCAGCTGGGCTGTGATTGCAGCGAGTGGGTGTCTGGAGCGCTGGCTTCCCTTCTGCTGTGGTTTACAGGACAGGCTGCAGCCTGCACATAGGACCCCTGCCCCTGCTTGGATGGCGACCCTGTAGAGCAGAGAGCCTGGAGGCTTTGTCTCTGTGGCCTTCCTGCCTGCCAAGAAGTCCCTGGGCTCCTCCAGGAGTCATCCTAGCTAAAGCCCAGCACTAATGGCCAAGCAGAGCCTGTCCTTGCAGCATGGGACCAGACTCTGAACTGGCTTGAAATGGCTTCTGGCAAAATGCAAGACTTGGTTTGGCAGGTTCAGTGACCAAGAAAACTCAAGGCAGAGTTGCTATTTCCTTGGAGAATCAGGAAAATTTAGGGAGGGACACTGTGCTCCTGAGGACTTTGCAGGCCAGTGCAAGGACCCTGCAGCGTGACTTCTTGCTGCGTCCAAAATGGTGCTGGACCCCACTTCTGCTGCTTGTTCTGCCTTGACATTGGTTGGAAATGTCCTCCTGGACGAGGCTGGAGCATCCCTCCCTGTGATGGGGTCTGCTGGGTACTTTGTGTCAGCCCCTGCCAGGCCTCAGCCATGCTCTCCCCATCTCCCCCGCAGAGTGCAAAGCCTGCTACCACAAATCCTGCTTCAAGTCTGCCCGCTGTCCCCGCTGCGAGCGGTTCCAAGCCCGGAGGGAGCTGCTTGCCAAGCAGAGCATGGAGTCCTACGTCTCAGACTACGAAGACGAGCTGGAGCAGCCGGAGGTGGTGGCAGCCACATGAGTCACATTGCAGCAGAGGAGCAGCTTGTGGGTGTATTTTATCTGCATGGCCTTCGTCACCAGAGACTGGGCCCTGCCTGGAATGCTGTCTCAAAGGGATCTGTCTTCTCTCATGCAATAGAGCTGGGCTGGGGAAGGGGCATCTCTCATTGTCTGGATCTGCTCTAGGTACTGCTCACACCCCCCAATGCCTTTGCCTGGGGAAAGGCAGCTGCTCCTGTCTGTGCTGCAGGCAGGATGGGACCCTTTTCCAAGCAGTCGCTGATGCTGGACCAGGCAGGGCTGTGTTGCCCATCCCAGGGTCCTCCTCCCCTGCAGAGCCCAGCCCTTCCTGCTG